ATGAAAAATTGGTGAGATTAATTCACAATAATACCAKAAGAAGGACAGAGAAGAAGAGGAATTAAAACATACAGTAGAATCTCCATCTGAGAATCAATAATCCCAAAGTTAATGTAAGCAGTGACTGAACATTCCCACACTTTTATTTTCAAGTCCTTAAAATTCTAGACAGTATGTGGAGCAAACRTTCTCAAGACATGAAGATGTGACTACAAATCATGGTGGTGAAAGAAGAAATCATTTGCTCAGGTATTAGACAGGATGGAAGGGCTCAGTTAGGGGATAAGTGTACCACAAAYTGATCTTAACCACACTTTTGCAAAGGAAGAAACACTTAACTCTAAAGACAATAAAAACACCACTTTAGCAGAACTTCTCTGCTCTTATTTTATCTCTCTTTTAAAACTACACTAAGAAAGGATAAGCAGATGCATCCAGGTTTGGGTTTTTTCTGGTGAAGATTGATGAAAGAAGCAGAAGGTAAAAAGGCATTTTGGGGGTCTGGTTGTMCTGAGCGCTGTCCTACACAGGCCCCAAGACACTCCAAGTGCAGGCAACAGTATCCAGAGCTGAGACAGTCAAACTCTGGATCGTGCGTTTGTCACAGCTTTGAAAACTGCCAGGAAAAGCAAGCTCCAGGCATTAGGAGCACAGCATTCACTGGCAGGAACAGGGTCTGGGGATGCTCAGAATGGGCAACATGGGTACATTACAATGAAAGGCCAGAATTCATTACACACTGAAGTGAAACAATTTCCCATACCAAAGGAAAACATAGTTAAAGACAGGGAGGAGGAAATATATTAGCTAGACATTCCAACTAACAAAAACTCCAGTTTTGATTTATGTTCTATACACTAAAATAATATTTTAGTTAACATGCTCTCCTACCTGCTCCTGCAAAAAGAGTTATTGTATACATAGTCTTAATCTTTACATGTCTTCCCAGTTTCAGGCTTTACAGCAAGAGGCATTTGCAGCTTTGAAAATAATCATGCAATAGATAATGTAGCCTGTTAGCTACTAAGAAATTTGGTGAAGTTCTAGAAACGGGAAATAAAAATTAAAATACTAAAAAACAGTTAGAAGATGATCTGGCACCTCATAGAAGCACTAATATTAAAATAAGCTCCACCACAATTAGAAATGAGCCAACTCTGCTTGATTTTCCTGGGTAATCTTATATTAACAGAGGTAATCTTATATTAACAGTTCGAGAGATAAAGGATAATTCACTCCTGGAATTTCAGTTCCTATAAGGCTTCCCATCTGTAGGTGCTTCAAGATGCCCATTAAGAAGTAAAAATGCCGGGTTTGTGGGAGTTAATGTTTTTTCTCCGAAGGAAAACCATCTCTTTGTGGCACCACTAACCTTAGATTATTCCCTTCATCTGTAATTTAGGGCCTCTAAGTGATAAAGATTGCATTAYAACCAGAAATAAAACTTACTATAAATTCTACTGCACTTCTTACACTTGCTGTGTTTTTTCTTAACTTGCTAGAAACTCATTAGAGGTGCAYGGCTAAAAGACAAAAAACAGTGACTGTAAGTCAGATCAAGGAATATTTGGTCCAAAGAGGAGCAAAATTTTTTTGAGAGTGGTGCAGTGTTGGAAGAGCTGAAGCTGCATGATCTCCATCCCAGGAGATTTAAAAACTCATGAGCAATTTGATCTGACTTTCAAGCCAGCTCTGCTTTGAGCAGAGGGGAGGTCTAAGGACAACCTATTAATTTTAAAATCATGTTGTTGAAACTTTGATTAAAATTCCATAATATATATAAAAGTATAGTATTGGCTTCCTTTATGTAGGGTCACACAACTCTTAGGGAGTGTCCTCCCTGTCTCTGGATCAACAGTGGCATCACGGTTGCAGAAACTGCTAAAAACTGAGTTTAAACTCATCTTCATTTGACAAAGGAAAATCGTCAAAAATAGAAGAAAATTAGTAAACCACAGATGTTTTAATAGCACTTTTTTATATTGTAGTGCAAGGATTGAGAGGAACTACTGTTGATAAGTGCATTCCTACAAAAAAAGTCACCCTAGAGAAATCCTCTCTATAAAAATCAATACTGAAATTAAGATGACAAAAAATGTGTGTTAGAACAGACAGATCCCCAGAGTTCTGTTCAGTCTAAAACTTCAGCTTTCATTCTCTACCTTTTAATATATCCCTCAGGACTTCCTGAGATGACTGTGATGATGTAAACCATTTGCAGGACTTTTTGCCTAAGACACCTTTTAGCAAATAATTCATAATTTTTCTCTCCAAAAAGTTTATCACCCTCTTCATGTGAGTTGAAAAGAAACAAAAAACGAGTTTAAATTCATATTTAGACATTCATACATATTTGAAAATAAAGCACTGCATCAGGCAGACTGCTCCAAACAATGTAGTTTTATATCTGGATGTGCACTGAGAGATGAGGTGTTATAACATCGAACCTCAATTCACGATGCTATTTGCACAATCTGCACTATATATTTCCTTTAAGCCTTTAACTGAAATCGTTCTGCTGTAGAACAGAAATATGTAACACCCACTGTGCTCTTATCTGGTGAAATCCTCCTTACTCAAAGCTGCATTTTCTTTTAAAAAAGTTTGCTTTTTCTTATAGCCCAAAGAGGTCCACAAAGCAAGAGAAAGATATTTTTACAGAAGAGAATAAGGAGTGAATGGAACTGTAAGTGAATTTTATAATGGTACATTAATTCCTTTTGTTATTATGAACTAAAAAATTTTCCAAGAMTGACAATGCAGTTAAATTCCCTGAGGATGACACACCTTATAAGAGAATCCCCAGTCTGCCCTAAAAGTGAGAATAACAAATATGTGTCTCCTATCTTTGGTGTACAGTCATCTGGGAAATGGCAACAACTGTGTGGTCARAAGGAAAGTGCTGAGGCACCAAGAATAATCTATAATAATTCTASAGTGCCACATCTAATCTCCCAATATCAGCATTTGAATTAAAGAATGACCTTCAGTTAGCATTCCTATGGAATAAGAGTGAAAAAGGAATAGTTAAAAACAGCTTGCAAGCTGTATTAAAAAGTTAGACTAAAAGCTCAAAATTATTTGGGGATGTGAGTATTATTTAAGCAGCATACTTCAGAGGAGTTAATGTATTTGAAAACAGCAGGCAGGACAGGCTTTGAGTATAAAGAAAGWTAAATTCTGCTTCATCTGTCCATCAAAGCCTGAATATAAACTTAAGCTACACCAGAAAACACAGAGGAAAAAGTTGAGTATAATCTAGGCAATCGAAGAAGGGAGGGTCACAGTAAATTATCAAAAAGCACAAAGTGTGACTGACGTCTGCCAAGGCAATAAGCATCCACATCAAGGCTGAACTCAAATATRCCCATGGTATAAAAATGAAGAAACCTACTTCACTGGCAGATAGAGAGGGGTGKCCATTCTCCAGGTGTATCCACACTAAATCTCTAAATCTCTAACATTACYCAGGAAATAAAAAACACATTTATTTTAGTGGTAACAAACTTGCAGTCAAGCAAAATATGGAAGATAAAAGCAAGAAAAATMATCTCTGAGAACAGACATCAATTGCACATGTCTGGTGTTCTTTTTGTTTCTCACAGAAGTTTAAACCACAGAATTTCTATGAAATCATATCAGCACAGTGAAACATTATAATGGAGACAGCAAAATGCAAATGAAGATGGAGTGCAAGCAGATGAGCCTCTATTTTTAACTCAGCTGAGCTGTCAGGTCTGCTAAAACTTGAGAATTCCTCTAGTCAGTCACAGTTTAATTGAACACTTGTAATATTTACTAACAACACAGCAGGTGTCATAACCTCACTCTGAGTTTACCTATTCCATACTGGAGCCYGCCCCAGAAGAACTGCTCGATAAAAAGTACACAAATTTTGCTTCAAAACCTTAGAGGCAAACAAAAGAGGAAATTTCAAAGACTTGCAGAACCTCAGTAGGGTTTGTGGACTCTCTTGCCACTTTGAAACATCTTGCTCCCAAGAAGGAGCAATTCCTCTCACATTAATAGTTAGTGTTTAACTCCATGAAAAACAACACGTAGTATTTCATATTTAACTGAAAATATAACAAAAATATTTTACAAGGCTTATTGACCATCCATATTACCAACACCAGCTTTTGCAGGTAAACACACAGGGACAGATCACACAATAAAAAATAGTGGGAGTTCGATTATTCAAAAGATAAACGGTAGTAAACACCATCTTCCATATAGTTACAAAAAATCATGAAACATATATTTGTTGAGGTTTCTTCTATTTCTTACTATCCCAGCTTATTTCTTCCTAGACAGGCATCTTATRTAAGAACATTTCTAGTCAGCAGTTTTCTCAAATATTTATTTACTCAGTATTTACAGTACAAACAAAATACAATACAACAAAAAATGTTTTGTTTTGGCTTTCTTAGATATTTTGGGAAATCCTTGAAAATCGTGGCTGGTTTGTTTTGTCTTATTTTAAAGCCAACTTATTCTGTGTTTGTAAAGAAAAAATTCATAAATATACAAAAAAAAAAACCCACTGGAAACACATATGGATGTGTTCAGATGAATTAAACTAGTAAAACCAGAAGTAAAAAAACCAAATCAATTCAATTTCAAAACTGTCAAATATTTTCACAGTGATTCATGATGCGAACACCAGCTTCTGATTATTCACCAGATTTTGTGACCATACTCTCCAATAAAAATTCATCAATGTAAATGGCAATTCCTCTCCTTTGAACCAATGAGTACTTAAAACCCCCCAAAACCTGAAGTATGACATTCTTCCAGAAACAAGCATTATACAAAAGCATAGGTAATAATTGTTGAGTGTAATTTTGTTATAGTAAATTATCATCAGACTCACWAAAGTAGTGAGGGTATTATTTTTAATGTTCTGATCAATCCAAGATTTAATTTACTGAAGTGTAAATTAATTAATCTGTATCACATCAGAACCAGGTCCTTTGGTATTTCATAAAAGTCTACATTACCTTATGAGATCAATAGGCTGAAACTTGTAAAAGACTCCATATCTTGCCCATTCTTGATACAGCAACTAAAGGAAGAAAAAAAAAACTAACTGAAAATTATCTTGAAGCAAGTTGCCCCTTCTGTTTTCACAAACATYTTCTAAGACTTAAAAATATTTACACTAAAACCAAAACAAAACATAAGAGCAGTTTTCCATACAAGTACATTTTTCCYATTTACAGAGTGCAATTCTTCTTTGCTGTAATTTATTAAATGTCTGGAATCACACTGTAGATAAGTCACTGGCCAGTGTTTCCCAGGCCAGGGTGAAATGAACTGAAGTTAAGGGTTCAACACTGGGAAACTGGGGTGTATTACCCAGAGGTAATAAATGTGGCAAAACAAGTCTGCTCTCCTGCTTTTCTCCTGGGGCTGCTATACCCAGTAGAGCACATAGAAAAGCCACTTTTCTCCCCATGCTGAGGACATCAGATAAGGTCATGTCTGCTGTTGAATGTGCAAATTCACCCACAKCTTACAGAGAGCCCAAAGAAAAGCCCAGATCCCACAGAAACTTCTGGCAGGGGGAGGAATCCAGCTGGAACAGGGTCAGGGATGAAAGCAAACCTTGCAGAACCTGTGGCAGATTGACCACAATACACTCAASAGCAATGGCAAAGAATTTGAGACAGTCTTCTTATTCCCTCTTTCATTGCTGTGATCTATGTGACATAGCTTCATTGAAGAGGATTGTCCTGGCTGCTGCTATTTTCAAACAAATACTTGTTGTCCCCTATTCAAAAGCATCCCTTGCCATTACCCCACAGTATCACCTAAAAAATGTTATTTATTTCCTCAAATAATCATGCTAAGAAATGCATTCACTCAAATATACAAAARAAGAAAGTTGAAACTATTAAATTCTTAAACTACCCAAAGGCTGCTTTGAGCACAGCTACGGAATGGAATTTGAAGAGCAAAAAGAAAATTCTTTCTAAAATAGCATTCCGTTTAGGAACAGGTTATTTCTGTAAGTTWATAATAATTTGCTAATCTGCTGCTAATAATAGGGATGCTGTTGGAGCATATGACAACAGTGTATTTCCCAGGAAGGTTACAAAACCCTCACGGATTTTTTAATGTCAGACATAGGAGCAGCAATGGAGGGTTACAAGTTGCCAGTGGGTCAGAAACTTAAAGAAGACTAAACCAGTGTTTATGCTTATGATGAGTCACTGCCATTCTACTGTTCAATAGTTTTCTTTAAAAGATTTTTTTAGAGCAAAAATCCCACTGAAACTAGAAATTCTTTCACTCCAGTCAACACTTTTAGGAAAGACTAAAACTATCTCAGTCTGACKGTTTCATTGACTGCAGATCACTGATTCTTATACGATGTGACAAAAGAATTGTTTCACTGTGCATTTGCTCCAAGGAAATCCTAAAGAAGGTTGATAAGGATCAAYCTTTTATGTTGTAAACTGCTACAGAAACCTTAATTACTTCTGCAGCCTTAYTGGCATAAGTATCCCATATGGACTCTCAGCTCATTTTGGGGACTTATACAAGAGAAAATTGAAAAGGAAGATCCAGATAAGTTATAATGGGCAAAATAGAAGAGGGCAGAAGAAAAAAAAAGAAAAAGCGCAAAATTACCCTCCTTTCTTTTAAACCTGATCAGRGTTCTTCAGGAAATTAAACACTGAGACTATTAGATTCAGATAGAAAACAGATGATGTTATGCCTAGGAATACTACAGAAGATTCAGTGCCTAGGCAGCAGGGACATATGTGAATAATCAATGAAGTATTTGTGGAAAGAAGCTTTTATGTTTTTAATACTTAACACTTCATAACTGAGCCTAATAGGCAGAATAAAGAGAGGGAAGCACAAAATACAAGTAGTAGGGGGAATATTTTTCCAGACACTGGTCTTTCTAGGCCCTCTTCCACCCCATTCAATAGTTCCCAATCTTTCTCCACTGACTAATGTTCATTTACTTTTTTTTCTCTAATTTTTTTTCTTTAAATCAGTAATCCGTAGTGCTGCCTCCCATTGCTGGATCTCTATCACTTGCTCAGAGAAAATTCTGCAAGTCCAGAGCACAGAATTCCTTCAAAAACAAAAAGTTCAAAGTAACAGACACAAATAAAAACCTTCTTATAGTTTGCTTTCAAATTTTGTTTTGTTTACCAAGGTTCATACACAAAATTAAGTTGTATACAGCACATGAAGACATCTAGTGGCTGAATGGCAATATTATTAACCAAAAACTACAAAGATTATGTTTTCAAATGTTACTAATTCGGCATTAGAGAAATCAGATGTATGACCTCAGTTTGTATGAGCTCAATCTTTATAGTATAGTAAATATTGGAGGTATCCAAACATTCCCTTTTTCTTCAATCTTCCCTTCTCCTCTTTCTCTCCCTACTATTTTCCCTCTACATTTACTACCCTATTGTTTTCATATCAAGGAAAATAAAATGAGCAAACATTAGAGAACAGTATGGAATGGATCTTAATTGATTACAGTCATTAAATGGGTTTTTTCCCCATTTCTAAAAATGAGCATATTTATTAAGCACAGTCTAAATTCACACTGTTTCTCTTGAGAGTTGATCTGTTTTCAAATGTCTTTTGATAGCTAGAGACTTCATTTACAAAATAATTGAAAGCAGATTTTAAGAAATTGCATGCAATTAAATTAAATGCACAATCAAATGAAAAGTGCAACTATGTTTTATTTTAGTAACCACTGCTCTCTAATAGCATTTGGTTATGAGAACAAAATTATTACATTATTTAACAACTTTTGTTTCCCGAAAGGTTGAAGAATCTTGTCTATGCATGCGGAGGAAAACTGGAAGTATTTCAAAATGTAAATATCAAATTAAATTTACTAACATTCTTTAGAAGAAGACTTTATAAAAATCCTGTAAAAACATTTTTCTAGGCAAAAATATAGAAAAATATGTAATGCCAAAAATGTATGCATTCGTAAGAGCACTTACTTCTTTGTACAATGGCTAATGCTTTACAGTGATATTTAGAACATTAATTCACATTTATCACATTAAATTTCATAAGAAATAAATCTTGCAATGTATTTTACCTTTCTTTCATTCATGTCTTCATTTTGTCCTTCATATTCACCCTGGAGAAAGAAAATAGCTTAATAACTGATGTAAAAGCAGATAAAACTAAATAAAAGGTTTCTCAGCTCTTCCTACATTGTCGATTTTACTTTTAGGTCACAACTTGAAATGTACTTCTATAAGAGGTTTCATATTAGAACTACACTTAGAAGAKATTTTCATTGTCACAGGCAGCACATATTAATATCTATGAATTGATGTCTCCTGAGTGAGACCAGCAGAGAACTGGATTTTTAATAGGACATACGTACATCGTGAAGTGGGTAGGCTGCATCATAAACATTGTTTGCTATTAATGTGCCAATGCCTAAAAGAAAAAGAAAAATTCAGGTGGTCACCAGGCACAATTGAACAGAAAACATATTATTACAGATTTCATTTCCTGATGTTTCAAAGGGGATGGAGCTGTATYACTGACAGTAGTCACTATGAGAATAGAGCAACACAGGAGTTCCTGGCCGTGCAAAACATTTTTCAGAGAACCTCATTTTCATAAAGTGCTTTATCTTCAGTGAACAGCACAGTACAAAGACTGTTTGACTACTTTTTCACCCTGATAGCAAAGAACCACATGACTGAGGAGCAAAGCATCCAGAAGTCATTCTTGAATCTTTACAGTGATCAGAACCATGGATCCCTGCTGGCAATTTAAAACATTCTCACATAAGTTTATGGTTATAGAAACATAAAATGGTTTGCATTGGAAGGGACCTGAAAGATCAGCCAGTTCCTGCCCCTSTGCCRTGGGCAGGGACACCTTCCACCAGACCAAGTTGTTCAGAGCCCCATCCAACCCAGCCTTGGACACTGTCAGGGAGTTTAGGAAGTGACTGCAGCACCTATAGACAGACACAAGATCCCTGGTGGCTCTCAAGACCTGCAACTCATATAGCAGTTCCATCCTCAGTCTCTGCAGGTGTAAACAATTCTGTAAGAAGCACCAAAGACAAGTAATTTATAATAATTAGTAATTTATTCTATATATGTATAAAAGACCTCTTTTCTTTCAATGCCAAGAAAAAAGTAAAACCATCTAGCATGTCTTTAGCAATGAAGAACATTCGATAGTCAAATTACACATCATTCTGAAATATTTGGAAAACCCCTTTCGTCAGAGATGTTAGGCAGCACCAATAAATGCCTTCCTTGTTACAAAGACAACTACATGCATTTATAGAATCAAGAAATCCTGCTTGGATAGTGTCAAGCCTGCTTCTGAAAGCATTCAATGTTTGCAAATTTTCAGTGGTTCAGAGTTATGCTAGAAGAAAATAAACCTTCCTTGTACCATAAGAGTAGAATCAGATTCAGCCTTACAGAAATGTTAAAAAATCCATAAGCAAATGTATTTGAAGTGTTGGTATTTTCATCCTTTTGTATTATAAAACTTGTTTAAGAACACCAAAGTGCTATAAGCACTTCCAACATCACTGTCCTGCCTCTTGTGCAAAGTAAACCATAATCTCTTATTTTTTAAAAAGAACAAAATTGTTTTAAACCTCTCCTGATGAGTGGTTTTAAGCTGAAGACCAGTGAGATTGGAAAAGCCTTTGTGACATTTGAAACATGGGACTTTTGGGGAAGAAACTCAGAAGATCAAAGGGATGAGTGAATTTAGGTCAAACATGGTACACAGTCAAGTTTCCAGAAAGATGGAAAGAATAGGAATGTTAAAATAGTTACTTCATGTCAAATAAGATCTTGAGCTGACCTGATCTTTAAGTTCATCAGTCTGTATTTTCACCTTAGAGTTAAAAAAGAAATTCCTTAAAAAATTCCTTWAAAAAATCCTGAAAAATTATTATTAGTCCTTTGATCTCTAATGATGGCTGTTACTCCACTATAAACCAGAATAAGATATTCAAGTTGAGAATATTTGAAGGGTCAGATATTTTCATTGGCAAAGTGCTCATTCCCTTCCTACTCTGTCCTTGTAGGAAAGGTTACTTCTCTCAGTTTTTCTTCCCAACAAATTCCAAAGTCTCCAGGAGGATTCCCAGCATGCCAGCTGATACAATCCAGAAAAATAAGGCAGCATTCGTCTCTACTGTCCCACTGGAACCTTTTGAGCAGATCAAAATATAGAACAACACTGAGTAAACAGTTAAAAAAGCAGATACCTGCCAAATAATGTTTTAGAAATGGAGAATGCCTGACATTTTTAATACCAAATTCTCTGTTTTTTTAAAGGAAATGGTATGACAATCATCATTTTTAAAGTTTGTACTGAGAAAAGGCAAGTGGCTTTGGTTGAAAAAGAGAAAGAGTTTTTGGTGGCTTTCATTTTGTTATGCTTTTCATGTAATTTAAAAAAAAMCAAAATCTCCTGCTCTGGGAAATTTAATCAATCTATTTTCCTGTACCAAAAATGTGTTAATGCAGCTTCCCTGCACAAAATCACACCAAGACTGTGCAGAATCTTGGTGCAAGACATTCTTTGCCAGGAACATTACCCTTGAGCATTGTGATCTGTCCATAAGTGGTCAAGTTTACAATAAGATTTCAAGAAAATATGTCAGACAAGGAGCACCATCACTTCTTTTCCACTAGGGAGATGTGTGTCATGATCCCACAGCGGATGAGAGAAAAGAGAATAAGTACACCTGTATAAATTCTGAACCTTGAGAAAATTAAATAAATTCTGAACTTCAAGCTCCAAATATTTCATTGTTATCCCAAAAGTGTCTTCAAAACAGCCATACTTAGGTCATATATTTCACTAGGCAACTCAGGGGGTGATTTTTAAAGCTGAAGTAATAAAAGTAACCTGGAAAGATGCATTTATTCTATTGAAATGGCAAGAAAAATATGCTCCTACAAGAAATAATACATCTGAATTTTCCAAAGCACATCATACAATAATCAAATCCAATTTTATAACAATTCATGAAATGAGAGTTATGTGCCAGATGCTGCACCTGTAGGAATGAAAAGCCAGCTCCAATTACCACGTCCTATCCAAACCATGGACCAGAAATTCTGATTTTATGTCTCAGAAAAAAACATTTATTTCCATCTCTATTTTTTTTTTTGTGAAAATGTGCCAGCATATTTTGTGTCCTGCTAGAAAAATCAATACTCTGTGAGGCACCTAAAYAATTCCTTTCTAAAGAACACCTCTAATTCTCTTCTCTCCACCTTACCCATGCTGTTTCTGGCCTTTGTAGATGTGCGCTTCAAAATTTCTCTCACCTGCAATAAAGAACAGTGGGATAAAACACAAATCCTCTTTCAGAGTGACTTCCATCGTGGAGTTAGCAATAAAACAAAGCTTTAAAATAGGTGGCTTCTGCAGTGTTRGTTTGCACAAATATTCAATAATTTTGCAGATTTTATTGGTGGCTTATCTGCTAGAATATTTGTAGGCCAAATCCTATTGTGTCATATCCTTATAGAACGATTGGAAATATAAGGACTACATGGAAGAAAATCTAGTTAAAGATTAGGAACAGGGTTGAAAACAGCTTCGGGCAATGGAGAGCAGTCAGTACTTTCTCTGCAGAGCATTTACAACTCCTGAAGCATTGAGCAGCTCCAGAAAAAAATTCCTTACATACATATATTTCAGAAATTAGTGTTCTGCAAGAACAGRTAAATGCATAAATCGATGATATTAGCAAAGGTGAATCAAAAACATTCATAAAAATCCCATTCTAAATCCCACTAGGAAATCCCACTCTGCAGAAGGATATGTTACTTTTATTAACTTACTATTCGGCTGCGGGTGGCGTTGTCAAAAAAGGTGTTTTTGTCTCTGATGTTATACCTAAAACATAGAGGAAAAGAAAAATCTATAGCTCTATATTAAGGCATAGAAGCAACAAATAAGACAGAATGCAAGATTCTAATTTAGAATTCACTTAGAAACCACTGTTAATCAGAAAAACAGATGTTTAAAGGAAATATAGAAGACAAAGTGCATTGTAACAGAGTGTGCTGTTTAAGACCCAGTCATTCAGAGTTCTAGCAGAATTGCAGTGATGGTGGGCATAAAAATGCAAAATTATTAGCTAATATAAAATGCCGTTTGGGTAAGAAGAACCTCTCTATTTTTACAGAAGATGACCTTTTAATATTTTTCTTATAACATGCCCTCAGCACTGCTGAGGTTATGTTATTAGGTGTCAACCAGCTTGATGCAGATGTTCATTATTCTTTTCCTGTCCACTACTCAGCATTTCACTTGCTTTCAAAAACCATTCCACTGGAATTATGCCTTCCCTTAAACCTCAAAATCATCATATGTGAAATTAGCTGCCCAGTTTATTCTCCTCCATCAATTTGACTTGTATTCAGAATTAATTAAAATTGTCAGAGGGCAATAAATGATATGGTGGGTCACTGTATTTATTACTGAATTTTATTTATTGAACATAAAGACAAGGAGACACCCAGGAGGAAAAAAGAGTGTTTAATGTCAGACTGGGCCCAGAAATATTATTCTGAGTGAAAGGGCAGGTGTCAAGAATTCCTTATCTGCATATTATTAGCTGAGTTTTAATTGCTGCAATAAATCTATCAAGATGCAAAATACCACCATATTTCTACTARCTCTTTCTTTTTTCCAAACAGGCAGTAATATTCTTAACCAAATAATCAGGAATTTGGTGGGAGGATTTCTACCTCTTAAGCTAAACAGATGGATATTTTATTTGGTGCAGTGCTTCCAGTGCCTTATCCAGCAGAAGCAAGTGGAACACTGGCAGAAAGTCTCTGCATTTTAGATTTCTGTTAATCCACAGAAAATCTGACAACTTCAGATATTTCCTCAGGATTTCCAGACATGCTTGATGAATTTATGAATTTTCACTGAAATAGGGGTAGAAAAAATATGTTAAAATGATACATTCCCCCTTTCTTCATTGTTGGTCACATTTTAAAATACTCACAAATATATTTTTTCTCTAGAAAATGGGTAGGACAAGTTTTTCRTCTTGGTATTTTCTTGTTGTGGCACGTGGGGTTGCAGAGGTTCTGTCAATTTGCACCATATTTCATTTAATGTTTTGAGCATTCCCCCTTCTTCTTTGATTTCGTACATCTGAGGAAATAAAACTGTACATTAGCATGTCCCTTCCAAAATGACATGAAAATGAAGATTGAAAAAAAATTGCTGCACACATATGTTTAAAGCAGTAATTAAAATATGTCTTTTCTGAAGACATATTCCCATATAACTGTAAAAGCRTCAATCCATATGGGTTGCAGTTTCAAAACATTCTTATCCTTCACAAGCTACATCCAGAAAAAAGCCTCAGTGTAGAATTAGTGATACAAGAAAAAAGAAAACAACCAGCTCCTCACTCAGAGCTCCAGGTACCTGCTTATCTCACAGTTAAACCACCTGCCCAGCAGGATGCTGGGAGGGATAATATCAAAAGCTTTACTAAAATCCAGGGGGAAAAAAACCTACATCTACTGCCTTCCCCTCATCCACTAGGCARGGAAGYTTATAGTGGAAGGATATATAATTAGTTAGGCAGGACTTTCCCTTTGTGAAACCACACTGTCTGTGCCTGAGGAATGCATTGCCGTTCAAATGCYTTTCAGCTGCAGCTGGCATGACTTTCTCCACAATTACTCCAAGTCCTGAGGTWAGAATAATAGGTATGTGATTTCCTGGCTCTTCCCTCTTGTAAATTGTAACTGCCCCGAGCAGCTCCCAGTCAGTGTGTACCAAGCCCTTTGGTAGTGTATTAAACGGGGTCCTGCTAATTCCTTCACTACACTGGGATAAATTCACAAGGCTCAGGGACTTCTGAACATACAGTTGATACTGAAGGCCCCTTAAAAATTCCACAAATGGAAAGCCATTAACTGTTCCCACAGCTGCAGTACTCTGCCTCAGGACCAGGCAGTCCAGGGTCTATTATTGATATTAAAGACTGAGACAAAAAAAAAAAAGCAATGAAGGGTTCCATTTTTCCTTCATCCCTGTTTGCCAGGTGACCATCTCCAACAAGTATCGGCCCAATATTTTCCTCACACCTCCTCTTGTTATTTACACACTTTCAAAAGTCTTAATTGTGTGGCACAATATTGGCCAGTTTCAACTCAGGATGAGTTTTGCCCTTTTTTGTTTTCTCCCTAAATATGTGAACTACAGGTTTGTAAACTTCCTGTGAGGCCTGGCCTTGTTTCTAGAGACGGAAATTTTCTTTTTCTTCTCAAGCTTCATGAGGAATTCCATATTCAACCACACACTCRTGGAGCCCTCAAAAGCAGATTCCCAGGGAAGAATGCTAAGTAAGTATCTGAGTGTCTTTGAGTGTGCTCTTTTGAAACCTAGAGCAACAATTCTGATGACCTTTTTTTGTCATTAGACTGAATATTTTAAACTCAACCTTTTGTGGAGCCAAGGCAGCCTCCTACCATCACGTATCCCACACGACCTTCTGTATTGACAAACACCAGTCTGTGTGGGCATCTTTCCTAGCTCACTGAATCCTCGTGGCAAAGTAGTACCAAAACCCTTCAGGAATTTCTCACACTTGCTTATGGCAGCAGGGCCATATTATGAGGTAGTGTTTGGGAAGGGGCCGTTTCCCATAAGGACAAGAAATTTCTCCTGGTTGCCTAAGGAATAATTCATCAGTCCTATACACACTCAATGACATCTGCTTTGTTTTTCATCTCCCTAATCTTCACCCAGAATCTCTCAATTTGGTAATCCCTTAGCTGCAACTTTTTCCTTCCCTACAGTACAGTTCCTCCATCTCTGCCCATCCCTCCTGAACAGCTTTAGTTCTCCATCCCAGCACTCCAGTCATGGGATTCATTCTCCCATGACTCACTAAAGCCAGAGGCATCACAGCTCTGGGGACAGAGCAATGCTCCCATTAGTTTCCATACTCATATTTGAGTCTGGCACAGTCTAGCTCTCCAAAATAACCATATTATAATATCCAGAATTTTATATATTGTCAAAAGGGCTCAGAGAGTACCCTATCCCAGCATACCATGTGTTCTGAAAGATTATTTAAAACTGAACATTTGGGAAAAAATATTTGTAACCAACTCATGTTTAGAGGTGGATAAATACTTTCCCCTGAAAATGTAGGAGTTTTTTTCCCCAGTTTCATGGGGTCCTTGAATAAACAAAAATAACATCACAGGAAATACCTAGTGTGCTTTGAGAGCAATGTCTTGTTTCTTTGAAMAAAAACAGAATTTTCCTTTTAGTGGTTAGTGGCTGCAACTTTTATTTTATTTCACCAAGTCCCCAAAATACAAGATTTCTGTTTTTTAAAGTTGATTTTTATTTCCTTCCAAGGAAATTACTCTTTCAACTGTCTTTAATTTCAAGAAAAACCCCAACCCCTAGGACATGAACACAGCTTTCTTGTCAAGCATGCTTCTGCAGCTAGAGATAACAGAGGATTTTTTTTTTTTTACTTTTAGATATAACAGAGGATTTTTTCTCCTGATCAGAGAAGAGAAGAGGATGCAAAACTGTTATGAATAAGGAGAGGGCCACCAGATATTTTCAGTTCCTAGACAGATTTTAACCTGGTCCAAAATTAGGGCAATATTCATCAATTAAAATAGAGTAATATTTACTTCAGTGCATCTGCAAGAAACTAGGAGGGGAAAACTTCCATGAGGACAGGAGGAAGAAATAAGCAGGCACYAAAAATGCATAAAAGGAATTAATTTGGGAGGAGATCAAAGAGAGGAGCTGACTACGTAGGACTATTTCTAACAAGTTTAGAGGTACTGTAGCTGTCTAAAACCAACTAATTTTCAAAGATTGATTGGAAATATAATTTTTTTTTCCCCTGGGATGCAAACACATTGAGAGTGTGCAAGATTGATTTGGCCAGTCTTCTGATAATGACAGATTGTAACCACRATTTGAACCACAATGAAACTTTTGGTGGAGAGAATACAAAAAAAACTCAAACAAAAGAAGATCAAACAGTGGAATGGGAGAAAACAAAATCGATCTGTCCTTTAATTCTAATGGCAATGCAAAGACATAAGCGTTCATTAGTGCAGTTGATGGGTGTCACTAACTGAAAGCACRAGGCAGTTCCCCTGACTCCAGTGCAGTTGGTAACCAGCAGGCTAAATCATTTCAGGAACACAGACTGGGGGATCTGCTACTCAGAATTTACAAGGTTTGTCAGCAATTCTGCTCAGAACAGACTGGAAAGAAGATAGTGAGCTGAAGTTTTAGTGACAACAGGCAGGTCTGAATTCACAAAGCCAATAATACCACCAAAACAGACTTTGTAGAGAGTCTCGCTTTCTTTGGAGAAGTCTTAAGGCAGTGACCAGCTTTCATATTATCTTCCATACTACCTCACCTTTGAGGGAATTTTCTTGACCAAAATCCAAACAGCTCCTGCATTCTCAGCTTTCAAAGCCCTCCTAAGTCTCACCTCTCTCATCACCCCCCTGAATGCAGTCCATCAGCCAGCTGTCTCTGTAACCTTTAAAAACCCCTTTGGAAATCCCATCTTAAATATAGCTCTGAACAGTAAATCATCTCAAAAGATCTGGTAAAGTGACAAAACAAGCCTGACCCTTCATTTTCTCTGATTTTTGAAATACAGTAATTCCATGGGTTTCTATACATTTAATGATGATTCTGATCCCTCTTCCTTCAGTCATACAACTTGTTGATAGAAAATGGGAGATATTTACCTTTTTAGTGGGCATTTTTATTTTAAGGATTTCTGCTTCTCGACTAAGGACTTGCCAAGGTGCGTGTATACGGACAAAACTCAATCCTTGGCTCTTGTTCTGAAACATAAAAAAAGAGAAAACAAGGTATGAAATCATTATTGAACAGAATATAGTGCTAATGTTTCAAGTTGTCAGCTCCAACTAAATCTTTCAACATAGACAATCACAGTGAATAACCATCTTCTGCTCCAGGTGGGCTGCAAAGTGATATTTTTCTTAAAAACTGAATCTATCATGTTCTAAAATCCATTCATCTACTGCCTAGAGTGTAGCTGTGTGCGCATCAGGATCACARAAAGCTACAGGTCCAGATATTGAAATTATGTGAATGAGAAACCCCCAAGCTACAGCTTTTTTAATATAGTAATATTTTATAACTTCATATAAGTATATACATTTGTATAAGCATGTGTATATATATTTGCATAAGTATAATATGAGTTTGTATAAATATAATCTGATTTCTTTGGTGGGCTTTTGTGTCCACCTGAACCACAAGGAAAAAACATTTCTCCTATTCTGGGTGGGCTTTGCTTTAGGTTCCCATTTTCAGTTTTGCCCAGCTATTTTCTGGCTACCTCATCAGATGAGTAGTTCCCTACAAAGGACCAGGCCCTACATATATTGCCCTAAATATCTGCAGTTGGAGTAGCAAACCTAGAGAAAACACAAAAATTTAACTTCTGTATAGGGATGTGAGTCTCATGTTTATGTAAAATGACTAGTTATTCTGGTCAGAATCATAAAACTGCCCAAAAGGGCTTTGGCACAGCCAATTTTTCATAGGGTCCTGCAAAAGATGTCCTTGTAGCCCRTGTAAACTACAGAAAGGCACCCTGAGAGCAGAAAGCAGCACCCCTGCAAAAAGCATGAAAATTAAATGAAGGGAGGTTGAGACAGAGTTTTCCTCAATGCCCACAAATAAATTTTATCGGTAAATCATAGGGATGAATGTTCACTGTGGAAATGTAGGGAAGAAAAGTTAGGAGGGAGATTAGAAAGGGAATATCAGAGGAATCAAGGCATTGACCAGCTCGCACACTATCTCCCATACTGCACCTCCCCTTTGAGGGAATTTCCTTGACAAAAACCCAAACAGCCCCTGCCTTCTCAGATTTCAAAGCCCTCCTGAAAACCCTCCACTGTAATCATCCTCCTGAATGAAGACTGTCAGACCATATGCTTTAGGGAATGACAGGGAAGTGGACACGAGATTTTCAGGAAGAATTTCTCCACTGAAAGGGTGGTCAGGCATTGGCACGGGCTGCCCAGGGAGATGGTGAAYTTCCCATCCCTGGAGGTGTTCCAGGAATGACTGGATATGGCACTCAATGCTCTGGGCTATGTAACAAAGTGGTGATGGGTCAAAGGCTGGACTCGAAGATCTTGGGARGTCKTTTCCAACCTCAATGATCCTGTGATTCAAAGACTTGATTARTGCTAAGATTAATGATMTTTGCGTGGCTGCTTCCAACTTCACRTAAACCCCAAATATGCATTTGCTGAATGTGTCCTAATGYTTCCCAATTAAAAAAAAAATTAAACAATTTAGATGGAAATCCTACTGTTATTGAAATCATTTTGCTCTTATTTCCCCTATAGCTGCAATATGAATTACAAAGATCACTCCCTCACCTTCAGCTAACATTTCTTCAGTGRACCAGTGCTATTTTAAAGAGCAGAACGAGCTGCAGAATCTCTCTTTCATCAGTCCACTGGGGAAGTTGGCTTTAAGAGAAGGAAGYAAAAATTTACTGGGCATGAGCAGATGTTCTGGTAATCATCTGCTGAAAATAGATTAATAACAGATGAGAGTTTAAATTTCAGTGGGTGAAGTCAGGAGGCTTCTTCTGARCTTTTGGCTAAAATCAAGCATGTGTCCCTGTCTGGGAGACTACATTCCATGTTGGCAAGGGAAGGGAAAGTGTGATCTAATTGGTTGTTTCCAGCCCATATGACTACACAGATTGCAAATAAAATTAAGCAAATAATTTGAGAGAATAGACCAGATGAAGAATATGACCTTTGTATATTTGAAGAAAAATAAGTGGGAAAGTTGTGCTGTTCATGAAGTGATATTAGATACTGAGGAATCAGACTATTAAAAATCTTTAAAAGGCCTAAAAATCACCCCATGGTTGGAAATTGAGATAATTTTAATAAACACTAATGCAAAGTAAATAAAGTAGGGAAACCAAGACTAGGTGATTCCTGCTCCATGGTAAACATAAGATGCAAAACAATGGACTGCTGGACATTCATCTTGGGATTACTAGAACCATATCTCCCACATCTTCCTAACATTCAAATTAATCAAAGAATTTTAAAATAATTTTGAAGTTATCAATTCCAATTCATATCACAGYTCAAGAGATAAACTATCTAGCTCATTTTCTATCAGCTTACCAAAATAAAAACCTACAGGGCTACTCCTCTGGTAAAGTTCCTTTCCCTGTTTTTCCAGGCTTCACCTGCAGCAGTTCCAGGTGTCTTTAAAGGCCCTTTTTTTTKTTATTATGTCGGGCCAAGATCTACACAATTAACTTGTTCTCCGAGGGTTTCTTGTATTGCAAATATCTCCAAAAGTTAGAACTCGCTTTTCTCCTTGCCAGAGTAGATGCATAACTAGTAGAGACATCCACTAACTGCTGTCCTCTGGTTAATCACCTGAAATGGTAATTGTGCATGTGTTCATCAATTTGCTCTCATGAAATACTGTCAGTCTTCTATTTTCAAAATCACCACTGCTGATTCATTGTACTCTGGATGTGTCATTAAAGCCAACACGTGGTGCTGGCAAGCGTTATTTTTGTTAGACCATTCACTTGTTATTTAATACAGCCATCCTTAATCAAGTCCTTTTTCACTTACAGCTGATGTCCCACAGGAGCTTATCCTTGGCCCTGCATTGTTCCATTCTCTGTCATTGCACTCCCTGATAATATTATTTAAATTACTAAGTATTCCTATGCAGATGACAAACAGATTTGTTGCTCTCATGATCCTTTTATTTTTTTCCTGTCAAATCTATATTCCATATTACAGAGTTCTTCCAATATGTTTCCAGAGTGGAAGTTTTTCAATAAGTTCATTCAGAAGAATTCATGGTATAAATATACCCTGGCTTCTTCTCTGTTTTCTGAAGTTGAATTCAGTTTTCCCATTTCAATAGGAAAGCTCAGCATTAACATCAAATGGAAGAAAATCTATAAGGTCTGCTTTGCTTTGCAATCAGCACATGAAGAAAAATAGATTGAGTATTTCTTTCAGTCTATCATGATTCTTAAATGACAAAGCTGGGCCTTAGCAACAGCCTATATTGCATTTTTTCTGTCTTGGACTGCAAATGTATAGGCTGAATAAAACTGAAGTTTCTCCAAGGAGACTTTTTCTATCTTTCCTGCCTTTAAAACACATTAGGACCCGCATCAGCTGCAAGTCTAAGATTTATTGCAAACTTATCACCATCAAGGCCATAGCAGAAAACATTGTATGATAACTACAAAAGCTCTCATAAAGATATATATATAAAGTGATTATTCTTTTTACTGAAAGCTAGTAAAAAACATGRCTAGACAAGCATAACTAAGTAGAACTTAATTTATTTAGACACCTCTAACATGAGGTAAATCACATGGTAATAAAGGCATCTGATTTGCCAGTCACGATCAAGCCAACAGAARGGGCAAACCCAATGTTTTTAACCTGGAAGAGTCCCAGGGGGTTTTTCTTACGGTGAGCATAACATTCCTAGGAACTTTGCAAATACAAATTTCATTGCTGAATGCTACACCTAATATTTCTCATTATTTCCTTATCATGAAATCACTGATCACTCTATATTTAAGGAATACTGTTTATAAGTAACTTTTATGTCGAAGAAATACTTATTTTTAAATACTTGTGCAAAGAAATAGGTTTCTGCTGCAAATCTTAACAGGAAGAAAAAGTAACAGCAAAGGTTAGGAAGAAGCTGCAGAAAGTGATTAATTAATGTCTAAGGAAGTCCAAAAGGAGCTGCCAATCTTTCTTATGATTTAAAAAAAATATGCATAGGAAATGGAAAAGGTATAAATCATAAAACCTGAAGCATGTGAAGTTT